CCATTCGGCCCTTGCCTTGGCAGGCCGGCGTGGCCGTCCTTGGTCCCGGATGCCACCAGACCGCCTAGCCCTCCCCAAGTGTTGTATTCTTTGTCGTGCGTGCGTGCGTGCGTGCGTGTGGTTTGTGCCACCTCCCCCCCCCCAGCCCCTTCTGCCAGCTGCATGGAATACAAAGCGGATTTAGACGATCGAATGGCTCGGCTCAGCCTTTTCTGCATCGGCCTCCTTCCCTCAGACCGTGTGTGAGGCTCAAAACTGAGAAGTGGTGGGACCCCGAACCTCTTCAGCCCTTTTCTTCACGAGACCCTACAGCCCGGCCAAAAAAGCAGTTACAAAACCAGAGGATGACTTATTTTACTAAGATTTCATTTTATTACATCTGTTTTTATATTTCAAACCCAACTCTGAAGCCTTCCCCCCCCCTCCCCCCCCCCCAGGAAAAATGACCCCTGAACTTTTCACGCGCATGGGGCTTCGGCTGTGCTCAGCTGCTCGGCACATGGCAGCACAATTCGGGGCCCGGACGTCTTGCCCCGACCCCGCGGTGGGTGACGTCCTCCTGGTGCCGGGGCAGCTTGCTGGGGAAACTGGGAGCTAGGAAAGTGGAGGAGGGGGCACCCTGGCAGGCGTGTCCTGAGCGCAGCTGGCTGGAGCCGGGGGTCAGACTAGATGGCCTGGAGGCCCCGCTGGCTCACGCCATTTCCATGTTTCCGTCTCAGCGCCCGCTCGCTTCCGAACGCCCCACCTTCCGGGGCGGCTCAAGGGCTGGGCGCTGTCGGCCTCCACAAGCCAGCTGCCATCTTTCCTCCAGACCGTTTGAGAAGCTGCTCCGTGCTTTGCCCGAGCCAAAGATCCCCTGTGCAGGGGGCTGAATCCTGCGGAGGGACGTACCCTTTTGCTGGCATGAGATGGACTGTGATGACCCCAGTGCTTGGGCCTACAAGCCCCATCGTCCCTCAGTCCTGGCCAGGCTGCCAGGGGCTTATGGGCTCCAGTCCAAACAGTCTGGAGCATCGTGCTGCTTGCCCTGTGCACATTCAGCTGCCGCCGCCCCGGTTTCCCAAATGGGCAGAGCGGGGGCAGCTGGCGCCGTGCCCCCTCGGAAGCAACAGGCCTGGCGTCATTTGGGTAAGCATTTAATTCCACCTCTCCTCTGAGCAGGTGCCAGGTAGACCACATGCTTTCTTCCTCTTGTCCTCACAACAACCCTGTGAGGTAGGTTAGGCTGAGAAAATGGACTGGCCAAGGGCCACCCTGTGAGCTTTATGGCTGAGTGGGCTCTACTCCAAGACTCCGATCCGAGAGATGTCTACCTGGCGCAACTCCCAACCACATGGTCAACAGGCAGGGATGATGGGAGTTGTAGGCCACCTTCACTCCACCCGTGGCCTAACTTAGCCCCGTTGAGCTTGCTTCGTCTCTCTCAACCTGGGCTTAGGCCAGCGACCAGCTGCCCCTCGCAAAAGGTCAATATTGGCATATCTTTTGAAACTAGAATATATATCTATAATATTTATGTGCATGTCGTTTGTGTGCATAGGGGTGTATATATGCTGGCAGCATAAACATATACACCTCTGTACACACACACACCTATATAGCTGTATTGTTATTCAGTAGAACCCCCCCCCCCTCCCCGAGTACCCTTAAACCTCAAGGAAGACCGAAGCTTGAATTAAACCTTAGTTCCCGCCCAGCAAAGCACTTGGAGGAGCAGCATCTGGCTGTTCTCGGGGCAACATCTGGAGATAACAGGCACACGAGTTCTTTTTGCTTTTTTTTCTTCCAAAAGAAAACAAAATCCGAAACAAAACCGAACCCCTCACGTTTTGGTATAAGATCCAGAGAACTGCCAGTATTTGGAAAAAGCCCAGGGCAGCAGGAAGAGTCAGCGCTCTCGCCCCAGTGGATCTCGCCCCACTGCGGGGCGGACATGCCTCCTGTTCGTTCTTTGCTCCGGGTCAGCAAGGCCAGCGGAAAGAACGGCCAGTGGAAAGGAGGCTTGGAGCCATTTGACCGGGGGGGGGGGGGAACCGGCTCAGGAGATGAAGACGATTTCGGGGGCATGGCCAAACCGAGGCCGTCCGAGCGGAAGCGAGGAAGGGCGCGCAGGGCAGAGGCGTGGGCCCGCACAGAGCGCAGGTGCGCCGCACGGTCGCCCACCCTCCCGCCCGGCCTCTCCGGCTGGGACCCTCCTGGCCTCCCCTCAGCAGCTGAGACACTCCAGCAGTTTTATTGCTCATATAATGGTACACAGTAACGCCCCACTTCTGCCGCCCTTGAAAGCGGGGACAGGGATGCGCGTATGGCTGGCTGGTGCGATGGCTCGGTGCGTCGCGGCAACATCTCGTATTGGGAGCGACTGTGTGCGTGCGTCTTTCACGATGCCGGCTCGAGCGCCCGCGATGGATGAGGGGACAGAAGACTGCCGCGGCGGAGGGGTTCGGCTCCCCCGCCCCACCGAGCCGCCCCAGCTTTTCCGCCGTGCAACTTCGGCTCCTCCCCAGGTCGCCAGCAGCGGCCAGCGGCGTGGAGACGGAGCAGCGAACGGAAGCGCCAGGCGGCTTCCACTGACTGGCCTTGCGGACGGGCAGGGAAGCGCCATCGCTGCGCTCGAACCACACAAGCCGCCTTGGCGGGGCAGGTGTGGCTGGGCACAGGCTGCGGCTGAACCCCGGGCAGAGGTGTGGCTCGGACCCAGCCCTGCCCCGCTGGCCAGAAAGAGCCCACACGGTTCAGAGGGGACTCCCAGGCACCCCGCGGGGAACCCACAGCCGTGCGCATTGGTCGTCTGAAGCCAGCCACTGGCTCACTGAGGCCCGCAGAGGTTTGCCGGAGCTGCCGAAAGGCCACTGGGACAGGACGGAGGGAACCGGGGTGCTGCGGCCAGCTTCCTTGGGGGAAGGCCATTGACGGACCTGTGCCTAGGAGGCAGTTAGGGAAACCTGCTGCTTCTGAAATCAGGAACTGTATGGACAGCAGATGGCCTCTCTCTCTCTCTCTCTCTCTTTCTCTCATTCTCTGTCACACACACACACACACACACACACACACACACACACACACACACACACACACACGGTGCTCTGCAGGTGAAATCAAATCAGCTTGCAACATTTTGCAGGCCTCTGAATTCTTAATCTGGCCACGTTCAAGCACTGATGTGCCCCTCTCTCTTAACCCCCAAATTAAAAGGAGTAGTTCATAATTCAAATTTGTGAACTGACCACTAGGTGGAAGTATGACAATTCCGTTATTGCTTTTTTTCTTTTAAAGAGGCACATGCAGGCGACACCCACGCGGCCCAGTGGCTGAAGCTGGAACTCCAAATGAGAACGAGTAGAGGGCGCTTCCTCCTGTGCTATTCTCCCAAGCAAATTCCTTCTGCAGGCTGCCTCTACCTGCGCAGGTAGGAAAGAACTGAGCACAGGTGTTCTGTCCACCCACCAGGGCATGCCAGGCCCCCACCAATCATCCCTGCGGGAACCTTTGCCCCCCCCCCCAGCAAACATGTGGGGAGATGCTCCACATTCTTTGCCAACTGCTTGCAAAAATAGGAAAAAGGAAGGAGAAAGAGACAGGCGGGGTGCTGAAAAGATGGCAGGGCGGTGTGGGAGGTTGCTTCTTTACCCCCCTTAGAAAACAAACGGGAACAAAAAGCAAGTTTCCCTTTAAATGAAGGGAAAGCATTGCGGTTGGCCCCTGGCTTTTAAAATCTGTTACAAATGGCGCCAGGAGCAATGCTGCGCAAAGACATCGCTCCTTTCCCAGGACTGTCGAGCAGGAGGAGAAGGGGCGTGCTTCCCATTTCCCCCTCTCGGATGAAGTCCCCGGAAACCGGGCTTCAGCATCACGGAGCATCATTCCCAGCGTGAATCTTACAGGGCGTCACGGCAGTCGGCAGATGGCGCCCGGCAGCGGGCCTCTGCGTGAGTGAATGGATGGATGGATGGATGGAAAGCGAGGGAGAGAGAAAGACCATCTGGCTGCCAGGCCAAACTGTGAGCACCCACATGTGCGCGCGCGCGCACACACACACACACACACACACAAGGGCCACCCCTTGAAAGCCCAAAGGGTCGGGTCAGCCGACCATCCGCATCTGCCTTGGATGCAGTGCAGCCTTTTGGGGTGGGGGGGGTCATTTTCAGCAGAAAAACAAGGGCAAAGGTTAGCAGCCAGCTCTGCACCCATCCGGCCATCCGAGAGGCGGCCTCAGCAGCCACGCCGAAGAAGCCGGCAAGGGGAGTGGACCACTCTTCCCCACGCCAGAGGGTCGGGGAGCTACACGCAGACTGTCGTTCCGGGTTCATGGCTGAGCTCTGCGAAATCGTCTGCATTTCAGCACCGGGGTTTCTTGTTTTGCTGCTGAGGGTTTCGATTTTGGTGGGAAAGGGGATGCGGAGGTATGTGACTTTGGGTCTGAAAGGTTCTAAATTCAGACGTCGGCCAAATGGTGGGCTGGAGAATTCTCCTTCCCTCACAGCTTCAGGCACCGTCCTCTTTTGTGGGTGCACAAAACCCCGCTTATGAGTCCCATGAAGTCAAACAGGAAACTGGGCCTGTAAACAGCGGAGGGCCGGGAGCTGCCCCGACGAAGGGGCGGCCCTGGGTCCCCGGCACCCGCCCACGCCGGTGTGGGATCCCGCGGGGAGCAACACTGCCAGCCCGAGGGCTGAGCCGCGCCACACCAACTCCTCTGGGTTATTACTGCATATTGATTACATTCTCCTTTCCAGTCTTCTGCTGCACGTAATAAAATACTCTATAAAAGAAAGTGACTGAAAATCTATAGCTCTAAGAATACCTGGTTATCTTTTGTTGTTGCAGTTCTTGTTTCTTTTAAAACCTCTAATCATCGTTAAACTCGAAGAAAAGAAAGGGAGAAAATGGGCGTTGCGCAAAAGTCTACCGGGATCCGAAAAGCACAAATGAAATCGAACGGCTCCTCAGCTGGTGGGGGAGAGGGCAGGGGTTTGGGCGGGAGAAGGGGGCACGTCTCACAAATTGGAGGGCAGTTTCGCTCGCGTGGGTTCCCGCTCTCCAGGCAGCCCTCGCGGGCCCGTCTTCCCTTCGACGGCGGTCAGAGGCGGGGAGACGGCACAGCTGGCCTCGCGAGCCGGCGGAGGAGGCAGAGACCCTGAGGACGTGGGGCGCGGCAGAGTCACCCGCCCGGGCACGCCGCCGTATGGCTTCCCAGGGGGCTGGCCCCCGCCCCCTCCGGAGAAGGACGAGAAGCTGGACACCGACTCCCTCGAGGAGTGGGGCGAGCCCTGCAGCAGAGTCTGGGCGGCGCCGTGGGGCAGAGACGGCTGCGAAGCAGAGATGAGCTTGAGGTCCTGGGTCAACCGTCCGGGCGGGAGCGAGGGGCCACTTCTGGGCTGCAGGGCCTGAGGCGTCAGCAGGGACCCGCGGGAGCCCAGCGCCCCGGAGGGGCCGCGCTGCAAAGTCCTGGCCGCGGGGCTGTGGCTTGGGGGGCTAAGGCCTGACGGCGAGTACGAAGGCGGGGTGGCGGCAGGCCGGTGCGGGGGAGACAGGGAGGCGTGGGGCGGCCTGTCCTGGTGCGGGTGGGCAGCTGCAGCAGGCGCGGCCGGAGGTCGTAATGCACTTGGCGGGGCTGGACACGGGGCTACCGAGGCGGAGCCCCCCAGAGCCTGCGGAGGCTGGCCGGGGCCGGAGGAGGGGGACCCGGACGAGGGAGGCGGCGGGAAGTGGCTCGTCCCGCCCGGGGCCCCGGGTCCTGAGAGCTGCTGGGACGGCCCCCCCGGGAGGGGCCTGCAGGCGGGTTGCAGAGGGCCAAGGGGGCTGCCGGGGCGGTTGGCCGAGGGCGGGGCAAAGGCGGGGAGGGCCGAGGGTGGGCTGGCGGGGGCCTTCTGGAAGGGGCCGAATGCGCTGGACAGGCCGCTGTCTGCGGCCTGCGGTGGAGCGGCCCCCTCGGGCGAGTCCGCCGGCCCCGGCCGGAGGGGGCCCCGTCCAGCCGAGGGCGGGCTGCCCAGGGAGCGCTGAGCGCAGCCGGCGGAGGGCGAGCCGGAGGAGGCCCGGTGGAACTGGCCCAGCCCGGCAGAGGCCGTGAAGCCCGCCAGCTGCTGGATCTGGAAGCAGGAGGAGGAGAGGGTCTCGGCGCCCGGCGTGTGCTGCTGCGAGGGCGTGCTGGCGGGGGAGCCCATGGCGGAGGGCCCCGCCGACGAGACCAGGGAGTGGAGCCGCCGCAGGCGCCGCGGCGTCTGGCCCTGCGCCTGCCCCAGGGAGCCCAGGACGGAGACGGGCGGGCGGAAGATGGCCGCGGGCAGGCGGGGGTGATGGGTGAGCGCGATGGCCACGGAGGTGGTGGCGGCCGCGGCCTGCAGGGGGGCCTGGATGAGCGGCGTCCAGATGACCGGCGTGGGCGTGGAGGCTGCCGCGGGCGGGACGTTGTGCGCGCAGTGCGCCATCTCGCGGTCGTGCTGCACGATCTGCTGGATGATCTCGTTCTCCTGGTAGTTGAAGACGCCCGAGTTGAGGTCGTGCTGCACCTTGTGCAGCAGGATGGAGTTCTTCTTGCCTGGGGAGGGAAGCGCGAGAGGTCAGTGTGGCCCGGAGGCCGTCGCGGGGCTCGGAGGAGGCCTCCCGTCGACCCAGAGCAGGGGCGTCCAACCCGCGGCCCATGGGCCAGCGTGGCCGGCATGGCTCTGGCGGAGGCCCAGCCCAAAATCATCAACGTGCTTAAAACGTTATGCAATTCTTTGGAACGCGGCTGTGTGGGTCTCCAGCATGAACGTGGTAGACGACAAGGTTGTGTCGCAACGCCACCTATAAGGAACGTGCGGAGGCTCTCTTAGGATTTTTACGCGAGGCCCTTGTGGCTTCTCCGTGGTGGCTGATGCCACGAAAATTATGCACAGGCCTCTTTCTGCTCATCAGGGTTCGTCCGTGCTTGTGCATTTAATGTGCGGCCCAAGACGGTCCTCCTTCTTCTCGTGTGGCCCAGAGAAGCCGATCGGTTGGAGGCGCTGATCTGGAGCGAGGGCAGCGCAAGGATGGAGGTTTCTCAGAAGAAGCTCGGTCACCTGAGGTCCCTCACGAGGAATCCTGCTGCCGTCCAAAGAAGAGCCTCCACCAGCCTTGCCAACCCGGTGCCAGTCCATGCAATGCCCCCCCAGATGCTCTGAGTTGCATCTCCCATCACTCCCAACCAGCCTGACTGCGAGTAATGGGGGATGTAGTCCAACGGATCTGGAGGAAGCCATGCAGCAGAAGCCCTGCAGAAGCTTCGGCGGGAGGACGGTGGCTGCCCTTGGTGGCGTTGAGGCTTCTGGTGTCTGACCTCCCCTGCCGTGAGGCTGTCTCAGGTGGCGCACCAAGCGTGTGACCCGCCTGAGCCTCCTGAGCTAGCCTGCTGCCTGTGGGTGCAGGACCGGGAGCCGCCTCTAGTCGTGGCTGAAGAAAAGCCTCCCTGGCTCTCCTCCCTGCAGTGGGAGGGGTGCTGCCTTGTTCCTTGCCCTGCTGCAGGAAACAGGGGGGGTCGCCAGCTGGTACCTCTGCAATGACATGCACAGCTTGTGTGCTCCAGAGAATGGCGCCTCCCTACCCAGAGGAAGTCTGCCCCTAGCTCGCCAGCTTGGTTCAGCAAGGGGGGCGAGACAGTGGGGGCAGGGGGCCACCTCCCAGCCCTCGCGCGCACAGGCCGGCCACCGTGGGAAGGGCGGTGCTGGAGCACCATGTGCTTCCATGGCTGCACATCTCAGTTCTGGTCTTACCCTTTGGGAAGAGGCAGGCCTGGCCTGGCAGTTTTCCCACACCTTGATGAGCAGAAAGCAAATGTGCTGCTATGCAATGGAAATGAAATATTTACATGTTATTCCTAAGCAATGAGGTTAACAAATGAGGACTCTTTTTATAAGTCAGCTCTGAGTCAGATGCATAGCATTTGGGTGGGGGGGGGGCAGCCACTTGCAGCCTCAAGGGAACACAGGATGGTTCCAGAAAATCCTCCTCCCAGGAGAGCGGGAGACCTCTGCGATGGCATCAGCTAATCAGATGGGAAACTTTTCGCCGCGGCGTTCTGCAGACGCCCCAGCGGTCACCCCCAGGTGTCCCAGTGCTTTCTCCATCTTTGGCCCAGGACTCTGGCAGCACTTGGAAGGGCTGCGGCCCCTGCCTTCTCTCCGAGACCTTTCCCTGTTGCCGGGAACAAAGCAGCTCCCAAGTGGTGGGATCTGGGAAAGCACGAGGAGTCAGCTCAGGAGCGGCCAGCCCTCAGGGGGCAGCTTGGCCCGGCAACATGCCCCCCGCCGCGTCCGTGGCGCACCAGCCAGTCCCTCTGCACTGCCGAGGCTGGGAAGCGAGGCTCACACCAAGAGCTTCCCAGGCTTGCCTGCGACACGACAGATGGACACACGCACACATCCATGTGCAAGCACACACGTGAACCAACACAGGCCTCACCTACGGACCAAGCCACACGTTACGTGGGAGGCCCGTGAATCGCTCTCCCACCTTTAAATATACGCACACACCCTGCCTCTGATTTCAATCTGCGTGCTGCTGGTGGAGAACGGAGCGTTTAAATCTCTCCTGCCACGGTTTTCCCACTAGGCATCCAGCCCTGTTCAGCTGATGCGATTTACAAGATTCATCTTCTGCTCCAGCATGGAGATTTCCAGAGCAGCGGATGATACAAGACTAAAGCAATACAGCAAAAACGAGAGGGTATTGATAAAACCACGGCCAACTAGCACAGGAGATGTGGAGGGCCCTTTCCACGGTGCGCAGCAGAGCGAGCGCAAGGCAAGCGAAGGCAAGAGCATCGCACCGCCTGGTCCGAGTCCACCGAGGTGCCACGGCCTTCGCAGACGTCGAGATTCCCCCAGATGGCAGGTACACAGCTTACTGCTTTTTTCATCATGGGGCAAGAAACCGAACTGGCAGTGATCTGACTTGGCTAAGGAAAAGCAATTCTGTGCTTGCGTAGTGGCACAATTCCTCCTCTCTTTGACCGGTTTGTACTAGCTGGGCAAGATGCACCCAGAGGGACCAGAATTTTCTCTGATGTTTAGATTTCCTAGATATCGGACTCTGTGTTTGGGACTGAGTCTGCCCCCCGTCCCTGCACTGGACCCACTTCGCAGACGACACATGAGGAACGCACCGATTCTGTCCAGCCGATCCAGCGCCACCGTTTCAAAAGCCCTTCTCATCATCGGATATTCCTCCAGCACCTCGTTGAAGTTGTCCACGGAGAGGGAGTAGAGGCGACAGTACGTGTCGGCCCTCACGCTCGCCGTGCGCCGGCCACGAGTCAGCAGGCAGATTTCTGGAATGAAAGGCAGGCTTGAAACGTTTGGCCTGGGCGGGCCCTCCACCCCAGATGCCGTGCGTCTCCGCAGCTGGACAAGCACCTCCCTAAGGCCGCGTCCCTCCCTGCTCCCCAGCGGCAGCTGACTTCAAAACCTGCTTCGCGCTGCCTTGATGCCCCCAGTTGCGTTACCAGCCCATCCACACGACTCTTTCCACCCCCTCCTTTCAAGAGAAGCCGAAGCACCTTCGCTGTCGCTTGCAGCTCTTGAACGCAATCCCAATATGCTTAGACAGAAAAGGGGGCGACGGTTCCCAGATATGCTGGCTGGGGGAACGCGGGTGGTTTTTTCTGCCTGAACACCCACTGGATGGCACCTTGAACACAAGTGCTTAAATTGACTTCATTTTCTGCTTCGGGTTTTATATTTGATTTGGTTTGGCAGATTGATGGCTGTGGGGCCTTGACCGCGATTAAGCACACCGCCATCAGCAAGGGAGGCTGGCGGTCTGAAGGGGCACCGCAAGGCGCAAGGTCATCCAGCCCCGCTCGAGGGACGCGCTCCCGGTGAGGGCCACCCCGTGCTAGATTAAGCGTGTTCTCTGGCCCTGGGCCTCCGTCGGGCTGTTTCGTGTAGTCAGCTGTGCTTGCACCTTCTCCCCACCTTCCCTGCAGACGAGGACACCGCCTTCCCAACAATGCCTACGCGGTGCTAAACCTGCCCAGCTCAGCCGGCGTTTTGAGCAAGAGAAGGGGCATCGGAGAAATTAACTGCAGAAGAAGCGAGCACGGTCAGATTACTGGCCATTATGGAAATTCAGCGCAACGGGAGAATGCCGGTTCCAAGGGGAACGGTTCTCCTCGCTCCATCTTCACGGTGGGGTCTCTTGCTTCTCTGCCATGGGATGCCTGAGACCCTCCGCCTGAGGCCGTTGCTTCAACGGTCTGTCCGGCTCTGTATCAGTTTGTGCACTAAACTCCCCCACAGGACTGGGGGGTTCCTGACCCTCCATCGCTTCCTGGCCCTCTCTAGTCCCAGTGGCCTTGGCGCTCCAGCGGCAGATTCCAGTTGCCGCTCTCCGCCTGACACAGAATTTGTTTCCATAACCCTTGAAGGCTCTCTTTGGGCCCTAATCCGCACACATCCCCACTGTTTTATGGGGCAGCTACATGCGGACGGATCATTGCTGCAGCTGTTTTAAATCAGGCATGTTTTAATTCTATCATAAATCTTGAGTCTTTTTTTTGAAGAAAGTATTCTAGGAAATGATGACGACGACGACAGTTTTAGCCACCAAGAAAATGTGTGTTGTGAATATCAGTACTGAGCAAACACAGAGGGAATGCTGATGCGTTCGGCTTCCTCATTTACACATGCTTGCCCTGATTTGGGGTATGCCCTCAGGAAGCGCACAGGTGTGAGTCCGTCCTTGCCGCTGGGAACCCTAGCATCGGCAGAGTTCCCAGGGGCATGCACAGAGTCCGTGTGGGTGCATCCTCTTTCACGGCATCTGCCAGCTGCATGCAGATGGGGAAGGGGCACGGAGGAACATGCTGCCGGCAAGTGCAGCCGCGCACTGCGCTTGCATGCGCTCAGCATCATGTGCGAAGCATCATTCCAATGGCACACAAAATTGCTTCCATCGCTGGAGACTCTACTCAGGGACTAAGGAGGACCCCGAACTGGGTTCTCAGACCAATCTCCCCTCAGAACCCGATGGGCTTCTTTGCTTCCTCTCCTGTCTCCCTGACTTTGCAATTTAGACGGCTATTTGGGCAGCAGGATGAAGCGGGCAGGTCTACTCATACAGACGCTTCATCAGAGTTCAGGCTCATTCGGGCGATCCCTTCTCCTGCCACTGGGGGGCGGCAAGCGCCCCAAACAGCGAGAGAAGGACCAGAAATTCGGCGGGTTTGCCTTCCAGGGAGAGATTACTCAGTTTGCAGCTGCTGCAACCAAACGTGCAAATGAACTCAGGCTGCTGTCAGAAAACAGCAAGCTCGTGAGCTGGCAATGCGTACGGAAAATGAGAGAACCATGCGCATCCGGAAAAGGCTCGAGAGCACAATGCATGGATCCGCACAGTGCGCACTGACACCACGACTCCATGACTGCCATGGGTACAAAACTGCGCCGTCTGCAAGACGTGCATCCAGCCAACAAACCGCACCTTTTGCAAATCGCACGCCGAAACTGCGCACAGGAGCTGTGGTGGCTGGGCAGGGAAGGGAGCAAGCTCCGCAATGAAGGCTGCGAGCAAGTTCACGCGGCTGGTTTCCCTGCCCTGGCACGCCAGGTGCGGAGTTTGGTTGCTGCATTGACTGCAACGCTGCCCACCTTTCTGCTCGGAGTGTCCTGGTTGGGAGGTGAGCTGCGGGTGTGGCGATTTAGCTAGTTTCTGAAGCCCTCCAGCTTCACAAAACGACACACAACGTCCCCGGCTTCCTTGCCTGGAAGTCCGGACCTGTCCCGTGCCTCCCGCACGCGGAAATCGGACATCGGTGGAAGCACCGCTCCGTCATGCAGCGCTCTTCTTCCCTTATTGCCTCAAATGCTCTGACTCGCGGCTTTGCAGGCACACACTGCAGCTGCTGGCAGTGGTGTCGTGGCACCAGGGTTCGTGGGGACTTGGCAACAGCACTTCTGGGATGCTGGTCTCATCCGCCAGCCCCATCAGTGGCTCCGTTTCCTCTGAGCTCTGCCTCAATCCGCATCCGAAGTGGACGGAATAATTTCCCCTACCCCCTGGGGCTTGGGACCATCGTTCCACGGAGAAGGAGAGCAGAGGATGCCTCTCGAAGAAGCCAGCAGCCGGGAAGAGCTGTTCCCAGCCGTGTTGGCTATCCTGGGCCAGCTGGTCCCCTGGGAGACTCCGTACAAGGCGGCTGCTTTGCGGGGCCACGCGGAGACTCATTCACCTCCAAAGTAGGATCCGTCGGCCAGCTTGGTCTCCTTGTTCCCCTTGGTGAGCACACTGACGACCCCGTGCTGGATGAAATACATCTTCTTCCCGATGGTCCCCTCCCGGATGATGTAGTCGGCGGGCTGGAACACCTCGAAGCGCAGCTTGGTCAGCATGGAGGTGACGAAATTGGGGTCGGCGTTGGCGAAGAGCGGCATGGAGGCCACCAGCTTCCGGCAGTTGAAGTTGATGATCTCCTGATGTGAGAGAGCGAGCGAGAGCGTTCAGAGAGGTAGTAGTGAGGGTTTCGTTCCCTTTTGCTTCGCCCAGCCAGGTGCCTCCCAGGTGTGTGTGACAACTGCCCTCAGCCCCAGCCAGCAGGGCCGGCGGCTAGCAATCATGGGGACTGCAGTCAAAGACATTTGACAGGTACCACCAGGGTCATTGCCCCTCATTTAAGCATTTTGGTCATACTTGAACTCTGTGAGCAAAGCTGCCCATCCAACAGATGGCGCTGAAAACAATTAAACTCACATCTAATGCATTGACATTCCCACAAACCCACAAAGGCAAAGCTGTGACAAACGAAAAACTTGCTTTCCCTTTCCCTCTTGAATTTGAAAAGTGAGGCTGCACTGAACGTTTGGGCAAATATTTGTGGCCGAAAAGGGCCCTTCTTGGGGACCCTTGACTCCAACAAAACCTTCAACACACACGCATCATCCTAAGCTAAAGAAGCACACTTCTTAGTACAGAACTACTGTGGATTCTTTCTCACAGGTACAAGTGCATGCATTAAGCAATAGATTAATCAACTAACACCGGCATATCAGTTGATTAATCTGCTTGTTGCATCCCACAAATTCGTAACCAAGCAACGCAGCCTTACTGGCCGCTGCTCCAGACACGCTCAGTCGACGGGGGACCCCCGGGATCTCTGCCCACCACGTCCCTCTGCCACTCACCTCTCTCAGGGGCTCGCTCAGTTCCCCCAGGATGCTTTCCTCGTCGAACATCTTGCCCTGGTAGCGATGCTCATAGTAGTCATGGATTCTCTGGCGCATTTCCGCCGGGAGCTTGTGGAAGGACATGTACTGCTCCACTTGCTTGTACTGGGTGGGGAACAAGGAGGAGGATGCTCAGAGGGAGGGAGGAAGGACTGGTGCGTCCCGCACACGCCCTGGCGGAAACCCTCTGAGCTGCTGGGGACCCCCGCTCTGTCCTCCTGCAGCGTCTTCTAGCCCTCCCCACACGACATTCCTCGATATTACATTCCAGCTTCCTCAAACTACACTAAAAAGCCCCGAACCTTTCCAACGGTCTTACATGTCTAACATCGATTCATTGAGTGAGGAATAATATGCGCTCAGTCCATTTCTACCGATCAGTTTCTGCCAGGGAAGCATTTCCAATGCAAAGGGGCGCAACTTGCAGGAGCTGCGCATTTTCAAGGAAAAAGTCTGGGTATTAGCTCTGTTTCAATCCACAAAACAATGCATGATAATTAAACTGCGTAATTAAAATGGGCACCCTCTGGATTGCTGCTGCCTACACACACACACACACACACACACCCCTTCTCCCTGCCCTTCCCCCATCCTAGGATGCTTCCTCCACGGAGCTGACGGCCCCAAAGGAGAATGGGAAAGGTCCCACAGCCACCCAACGTTTTGGCCTCAAATCACCCCTTCTCAGCTCTTTGGAGGCTGGTTAGAATGATGCTGCGAAATGGGAGGGTGAGGCACTCTGCACATGCCCAGGGGCACAACGGCAGCACTATCTTTGCATGACTAATTAAGAGAGTTTGCCAAAAAGACTCATTAGAAAGAGATGTGACTTGTTATGAGCGTGACCTTCGGCGGCATGCCAGCTTGGAAACCTGGATGCATGATAAGCCCCAACTCTAATTAAACCCTTGGAGTTTGCAAATGCGACATTTTCAAGTAATTTAGAGATGGATGCATCTTCAGAACATAACCCTCGGTTCACCCTTCCCTACTCCAGCTCCTTCTCCAGCTATTGTGGACGACGATTTCCAGCATCCCTGACTGTTGGTCATGCAGGGTGGGGACGATGGGAGTCCAAAAGCATTTGGGAGGGACACCAGGTAAGGAAAGCGTTTCTTGTGGCTGTCGGGTATTTATGAAGCCAGCAAAAGGGAGGGGAGCTTGACCCAGACGACTTTGTCCAAGAACAGCTTTGGTGCCCACAAGCAGGGACCAAACTCATCCCAGGGAGGCCTTCGGCGCCAGGGAACCGGCTCAGAGGGACTCGCTTCCTCCCGAGGAGGCGAATTGGTTTCTTTTACCAGGCCTCTTTTCCCAAATCTGGAAATTACCCCCGTTTCTGGAAATTACACCCCGTTTTCCTAACCCTAACCCTACCCTGGTGCACACCACAAAACCTAACATAGGGGTAAAGTTCCATTGAAAAGAGGGCGATTTTGAAAAAGCCTTCCTTGAGTAAGTGTTTCTGCCCAGCTCATCCTTTCTGCCCCTTCTAAAGACATTCCAACCATCAGAATCATGCCAGGACACCCCGTTTTCCTAACCCTAACCCTATCCTGGTGCACACCCCTAACCTAACATAGGGGTAAAGTTCCAGTGAAAAGAGGGTGATTTTGAAAAAGCCTTCCTTGAGTAGGTTTTTCGGCCCAGCTCATCCTTTCTGCCCCTTCTAAACACATTCCAGCCATCAGAACGATGCCAGGACACCTCGTTTTCCTAACCCTAACCCTACCCTGGTGCACACCCCTAACCCTAATATAGGGGTCAAGTTCCATTGAAAAGAGGGCGATTTTGAAAAAGCCTTCCTTGAGTAAGTTTTTCTGCCCAGCTCATCCTTTCTGGCCCTTCTAAACACATTCCAACCATGAGAACGATGCCAGGACACCTAATTTTCCTAACCCTAACCCTACCCTGGTGCACACCCCTAACCCTAATATAGGGGTAAAGTTCCATTGAAAAGAGGGTGATTTTGAAAAAGCCTTCCTTGAGTAAGTTTTTCTGCCCAGCTCATCCTTTCTGCCGCTTCTAAACACATTCCAACCATCAGAATCATGCCAGGACACCCCGTTTTCCTAGCCCTAACCCTACCCTTGTGCACACCAATAACGCTAACATAGGGGTAAATTTCCATTGAAAAGAGGGAGATTTTGAAAAAGCCTTCCTTGAGTAGCTTTTTCTGCCCAGCTCATCCTTTCTGCCCCTTGTAAACACATTGCAACCATCAGAATCATGCCAGGACACCTCATTTTCCTAACCCTAACCCTACCCTGGTGCACACCCCTAACACTAATATAGGGGTATAGTTCCATTGAAAAGAGGGTGATTTTGAAAAAGCCTTCCTTGAGTAGCTTTTTCTGCCCAGCTCACCCTTTATGACCCTTCTAAACACATTCCAACCATCAGAACCATGCCAGGACACCTCGTTTTCCTAACCCTAACCCTACCCTGGTGCACACCCCTAACCTAACATAGGGGTAAAGTTCCATTGAAAAGAGGGTGATTTTGAAAAAGCCTTCCTTGAGTAGCTTTTTCTGCACAGCTCATCCTTTCTGCCCCTTCTAAACACATTCCAACCATCAGAACCGTGCCAGGACACCCCGTTTTCCTAACCCTAACCCTTCCCTGGTGCACACCAATAACGCTAATATAGGGGTAAAGTTCCATTGA